TCTCCTACTCAAGTAGCAGAGATGGAGAGACCACCGTAGTAGCTGGGGAGGAGATGAAGGGAGAGCGGGAACCAGCCACAAAGATAACTCAGCCCTTCTTCTAGTAAGGAAGCTTGTCTAAATACAGCCATGGCCCAGAGGAACCAGGACCTGCCCCCTAAAGGCTGCAGTAAGGACCCCTTTAAAGAACGGGCTTCCACTAGAAATCCCAGCAGCGGCTCAGGCGTGAGCACAGCAGCGGCCCTTGGGTAGTGGCTCAATGGAAAGGCCCTGAGCAAGGCCCTGAACAGCCGGGCTGAGGAGCCACCCTCTCCTCCTGTCCCCAAGGCATCTGGCTCCACCTCAGCAGCGGGTCTGGCAACTGTCCCAGGACCCAGTCTGATGACAACGAGGAGAGGAGCCTCGAAACCATCTGTGCCAACCACAACAATGGAGCTTACACCCACGCCCCTCCCCCGCACAATGGGCAGAACTTCGGGGAACCAAAGGCAGTGGCCTGCTCTTCCCCAGGTCACTCCATCACTGGCCATGCTAACTCCCCTGACAGGGACGCCCCTACACAAAGACTGTTGTGGGGCCGAAATGGCCTGTGAGAGCCCCAGTGCTGGAACAAAAGGGGACCCCACTGAGCCCAGCCACAGACCGCAGGGCTGTTCATGGCCACCGTGGCCTCAAAAGGCTCCGAGCAGAATGGAAGATGCAGATTCAGAGAAGTCCTCCTCAGAGAAGAAATGAAAAACATGGTACATACAAAGGGAAACAAAAAGCTGCGAAATGTCGCCTTATGAAAAAAAGTGTTTAGTGAACACAGGAAAGGAAAACGAGCCCTAGAGGCACGTCAAAGCAGGGCCTGAAACGTGTCTGACGCTGCGCCGTCTAGTCAACACCAACAGTGGGTCTGAACGTCAGGCTGGCCGATGGCTTGTCCGCGTTAAGAAAGGGGGAAAAAATCTAAGTGACTCCTTTCTAGTGAGGCTTGAACGCCGTGTCCCTGTGCAAGGTTCCGTGAAAGGAAACCCTTGTTCGATGTGCATGGATGCTGGCACGTGTGAACACCTTGTCTCACGAGACCGTGTCGTTCTCCAGCAGAAATGACCTGTGCATCTGTACTTTTGCCCTCTCGCCCCGTTTACGGCCATTGGTGTTCTGGCCTTCATGATGAGCCCCCTTTCAGCAGGTTGTGCTGCCAGGGCGTTGCGGATGTCTATGGGAAGGATGGGGAGGAGAATGGAAACAGGCCTTCAGCCCGTTGGCTGTGTCAGTGAGGAAAGTGCGATTCCTTTCTTAAAGACGCCTTCCATGTTTTCTCCGAGTACCTCTTCATTAGCAGTTAATGTGGACATATTAGAAGTGGAGCATTTTAAATGCTAGTGAGAGCTTAGCCCTTAGATCAGATGAAGAGAGCATAGATCCCCAAGTTTCACTGTTTGCAAATTGAGCAGCGCTGCGACGCGTGCTGTGTGGAGGCCGTAAAATATGCCAAGGCATGGGTGGCACTCTCTTTCCAGTGAGGTGCTACTTCCTAAGAGGCACGCGGAGGGCCAGCAGGTGCTTGACTCCATGTGATGGAAGGAGAAGACAGCTCTTAAGAGCAGCATGTTCAGACCACTAAGGTGGCTGTTACGGGTGTGATGCTGAGGAAGGCAGTGAAGAGCAGAATGTGGTACTATATTTGTTTCATTCAACCCAATCCGTTGGTCAGAAGAGGGACTGGCATCTTCCCTCGGACTTACATTAGAATTACTTTGAATTTGTAATCGAAATGGTTCTCCAATATGTATTTTGACTATTTACCGATAATTGTAAATTCTGGTTTTCCAAAATGTATTAAATTGGAATTTTAAAATCATATATATATATATATAAGATCATTGAGCTGTTCTCTGAAAGACATGCAAGAGGCAAGCTGGGCAGGGATGGGAACCCAGTCGGGCGGGGTGGTCAGACTCGTGTGCCAGCAGGGGAGGGGACAGAAGGCACTGGCTTCGAGCAGAGCCATGGGAACATGGCAGGTTTCACCTCCAGGTGTTCCTGGCTGTGTGATCTCTGCTGTCCTGTTGCGGGACAGGAAATAGCTTGCGACAATCTGGGCTCACTATCTACCCTGCCCACTTTGCTTCCGCGTACTGTAGGATGCTGTGATCCCCACCTCTTGAGACATCCAGGAGAGGAGATGAAGGAAACTATGTTGAATCCAAATGCAAAGCAAAAATAACAAAAACAGCCTCTTCTCAACACTGTCCTTCTTCCTTCTGAGTTTTGTCACCGATAACCATCTGTGTTGTGTTCTTCAGATAAGAGGCTTCTGACTTATTTTCTACCCTCGCCTGAGGCCACCCCTTGGGTGTGTGTCCAACACTTCTTGTACACCCATGGATGTCAGCCAGCAGATGATGGGAAAGGTTGTCGTCTAGCTCTGGCCCCCTCCCAGCCTGTCTCTCTGTATGGTTTTTAGTAGGGGACCTGAGAATTCCATTGTCCTAGGCCGGTATTATCCAATGGAACTTTCTGTGATGGTGGGAATGTCCCGCCTTTGTGCTGTCCATTACGGTAGCCGTCAGCCACTGTGCCCAGTGAGGACTTGGAATCTGGGTAGCGTGACTGAGAAACTGAATTTTCATTTCATTTCATTTTGATTCAAGTGTACATGTGGCTAGTGACTTCTGCACTAGCATGATTCTGGACTTCGTGTGGTCACCATCTCCCTGGAACCTTGCTCTGTTTTTGGTAGATGATTGGAGATTCTACTACAGGTGTGTAGAGCTTCAGAGAAGGACAGGCTTTTAGTAGGTTGTCACTTGTCATAGTTCCCCTTAATTTGCAGAGCAAGGGATGGAGGCACAGAAAGATGAAATGATTCGCTTATTGTTTCTCTTCTGGGGAGTGGCAAAACAGGAGCTCATCATAAAACATTCGGCTCAGTGTCCTTTTGACTTTTGTTATATATATGTGTGTGTATATATAAAAAATCATTATTGGGACCAGCAGTTAGTGTAATGGCTATGTTGCTGGACTCCCACGTAGTCGACCGCGGTTCGAGTCCCGGACCCAGTGGTTTAAACTCACGCCGGGAGCGTGTGCGTGCGTGCCCAAGATCCCAAGAGGAGACTGAAGGAGAAGGGATTGCAGCGCGGCCATGCCCCCGGGGGGGTGATATCTCGCTTTCTGTCTCTCTATCTCTCTCTGTCTGTCTGGTGAGCACACGCACCCTATAGCAAAAACTTCTAAAAAAAAAATCATTGTAAAATTTCGTGTGTTTCTGGGAGTACATTCATTATGTAACATGGTGTATGAAAGTCAAAGTCCTCTTTGGCCAGTCTTGGTCTTGAACTTCTCCTCCAAACCTAGAAGTGATCATGGTGTGGTTAGTTTGGAGCGCATCCTTCCATACCTTTCTCTTATTGTGATTACACATAAATGAACGGCTAGAAAATAAATTGCATCATTTTATACATTGGTTCATGCTGCGTTTCTCCATATCTTGCTTTTCTCTTTCTTTCTTCTTCTTTTTAAAACGTTTATCTATCTACCTCTCTATGTGTTTATTTGTTGTGATTTTCAAGCCACTGGGTTTGAGAGTCAAACTGCAGTTAACCATGTGGGAATCCAGCACCTTAATCACCATGCCACCTCCTGGGCCATTTTTCTCTTTCAATAGCGTGGCCTAGATATTTTTGGATCAGTTCATAGACTTCTACATTAATTATTATTATTTTTTTTAGCTGCTACTTAGTATTTCATATCCTGGGCGTGTCATGTTTGCCATTAGCCAATTGTTGTAATTAACCATTCATTATTATATTTGTTTTGATAAACACCTTTGCACATCTCCTGCACAAACATTGTTTCCCTGAGAGGTAGAATTACTAGGCCATAGGGCATTTATTTGCTTATTTATATGTATTTTTATGAGACTAGCCACTCTAGTACACTTTAAAATAGATGTACTGATTTATATTCCTATCTGCTGCATGAGAATACCTGTTACTCCTCATTTTTCAAATGTTTGATATTATCAATTATCTTTACATGTTCCAACCCAACAGGTAAAAAAGATGTCTCATGGTTTAATTTGCATTTTTTTCTACTTCTAGGTCAAATGTCTATGCTAATGACTATTTGTTTTTCTGTGAACTGCTTTTTCAAATATCTTCTCATTTTTCCCTTGGTTGTTTTATTAATTCATCCAGCAAATGTAGACTAGACCTACTCTGTGCCAATTATATTCAAAGTGCTAGGAGTTTTGTGACAAACTCAGTAGACAAACATCTCTCTCCTCAACAAAGTGACAGTTCAGTTACAGGAGAAAGACCTAGGAAAAAGGAATCGAGGCAATATTAATATGTAGTGTGTGAGACTGGACGGAAAGGAAAAGGAGCTAGGAAAAGCCATGAGGAGTGGAGTTCCCTTTTCAGCAATGCCAGGGAATCTTGTCTTTTATTTACTCCTGTGGGTGTTCTTTCTATAGCCTCTGTACAAACCTTTTGCTTGAGGTATGGTGATGTAGTTTCTTTTTGTCTTTAATTCTTTCTTAGATCTGGGCACTTTCATTCTATTATTCTTTGTTTTTAAATTCCCAACCAAACTTTGTTCATTGAAATGGTACCATGTGAAAAGTGAAAGCCCTTTCTTCTGATCCTTCGGGCAGCCACAGGCAAGAGCTCTCGTTGGTCCTTTCAGATGATTTTCTGTGCTCACTCCCATGTGACACTCTCCCCGTCCTTGGTCGCTAAGTAAGCAGCCCTGGCCGTCTCCTTATAAACGCTATTCTGATCTATGAATACGTTTCTCATGACTGATTATTACTCTGTTTAGGAAGAGAACCCTGTATCAGTCCCCTCTGGCTGGACATCAAGGTTGCTTCCTGTCCAACATTCTTCTATCTATTCTTCCATGATGAAGTCATCTCATAGTCTTTTTGGGTGTCCATGAACTTCTCTGACCCTTATTGGACTAGGACCATTGTACCCCACATGTTAATGATTTCGTTTTCCTTCCAGCTTCATGGCTACATGGAAAATAAGCCTCTGGGCCTTCAGATCTTCATTGGGACAGCTGATGAGCGAATCCTGAAGCCACACGCCTTCTACCAGGTGCATCGGATCACGGGGAAGACCGTCACCACCACCAGCTATGAGAAGATCGTGGGCAACACCAAAGTCCTAGAAATCCCTTTGGAACCAAAAAACAACATGAGGGCAACGTAAGGGCTGGGGACTGAGGGTGACGTTGGGTCTTTACAGGGCAGGGGGCAGGGACGAAGTGGCAGGGATGTGGGAAAGGGGACTCTCAGGAGTTGGGGACATAGCCATTGATGGCAATTGCCAATCCATGATCAACCCATAGTGATTCCTGTTTTAGAACTTTCTGTTTTACGAATACAAGCTGAGTCTCTTGTATCCAAAATGCTGGGCACCAGAACTGTGTTAATTTCAGGTATTTTGGAGTTTTGGAATACATACAAATGAGATACCTTGGAGGTAGGATCCACGTCTAAACATGAAATTCGTTTATGTTTTGTATATATTAATACCTTATATAAGCATTTTGACTATGACCTATTATATGGGACCAGGGGTGGAATTTCCCACTTTCGGCGTCCTGTCAGCATTGAAAAAGTTTCAGATTTTAGAGCATTTTCAGATCTTCAGGTTAGGGACGCTCGACCTGTATTATATGCAAATATTTTCCTATGGAAGGAAAAATACTCATGAATCTTAGAATGATGGTGTATGGGATGAAGGTAAAATTATTTATATTTTAAAAATTGATTCGACCTAAAGGAATTATCGATAACAAGCAGGGATGTCAAAGCTCATGAAGCTACTGGGTCGTTGAAGAAGTCATAACCCACTTTTGCATAGAGAAATAAGTCATTGCTTTTCCGATGACCTAATAATGTGCCTATGGGTAAAATTTGGGAAACATGGCACACATGTTTTGGGGTTAAAGATAAAAAACCCTTCTTATGGGAAAATGAATTCAAATTTACAGAAAAACTGCAAGGCTCATGCAAAGAATTCTGAATACTGTTCACTCAGATTTACCAGTGAGCATTTTCTACATTTCCCGAATCTCTACCTTCCTCGCCATTGTTCCCTGAAAGGTCTAGAGTTAGCACAGACTTGATGCCGTTTTACTTCTAAACACTGAAGATCATTTCCCAAGACCAAGGCTCTTCTACGCACCCACAGCACGCTCATCAAATTCAATTCTAACATTGAGCTTTAATGTCACCACTCCACTCTTGTCTTTATTTTTTTGAGAGAGATTTTGGCTATAGGGCATGTGCCCTTGCCAGAGAGACGGAGAGACAGAAAGTGAGAAATCACCCCCCCCCGCACCACCAGGGGAGATGACGACACTACAATCCCTTCTCCTCCACTCTCCTCTCAGGATACTGTGTTAATTTCAGGTATTTTGGAGTTTTGGAATACATACAAATGAGATACCTTGGAGGTAGGATCCACGTCTAAACATGAAATTCGTTTATGTTTTGTATATATTAATACCTTATATAAGCATTTTGACTATGACCTATTATATGGGACCAGGGGTGGAATTTCCCACTTTCGGCGTCCTGTCAGCATTGAAAAAGTTTCAGATTTTAGAGCATTTTCAGATCTTCAGGTTAGGGACGCTCGACCTGTATTATATGCAAATATTTTCCTATGGAAGGAAAAATACTCATGAATCTTAGAATGATGGTGTATGGGATGAAGGTAAAATTATTTATATTTTAAAAATTGATTCGACCTAAAGGAATTATCGATAACAAGCAGGGATGTCAAAGCTCATGAAGCTACTGGGTCGTTGAAGAAGTCATAACCCACTTTTGCATAGAGAAATAAGTCATTGCTTTTCCGATGACCTAATAATGTGCCTATGGGTAAAATTTGGGAAACATGGCACACATGTTTTGGGGTTAAAGATAAAAAACCCTTCTTATGGGAAAATGAATTCAAATTTACAGAAAAACTGCAAGGCTCATGCAAAGAATTCTGAATACTGTTCACTCAGATTTACCAGTGAGCATTTTCTACATTTCCCGAATCTCTACCTTCCTCGCCATTGTTCCCTGAAAGGTCTAGAGTTAGCACAGACTTGATGCCGTTTTACTTCTAAACACTGAAGATCATTTCCCAAGACCAAGGCTCTTCTACGCACCCACAGCACGCTCATCAAATTCAATTCTAACATTGAGCTTTAATGTCACCACTCCACTCTTGTCTTTATTTTTTTGAGAGAGATTTTGGCTATAGGGCATGTGCCCTTGCCAGAGAGACGGAGAGACAGAAAGTGAGAAATCACCCCCCCCCGCACCACCAGGGGAGATGACGACACTACAATCCCTTCTCCTCCACTCTCCTCTCAGGATCTTGGGCACACATGTATGCACACGCACCTGGTATGAATTTGAAGCCCCCGGATCTGGGACTCGAACTGAGGTTGACTAAGTGGGAGTCCAGCAATATAACTATTACGCCATCTGCTGGTCCCACCATGCCACTCTTACCTGCTGAGTAGCCCATAGCAGTTCTGGATGTGAGTTTTTCAAATGCTTTTGAGAGCAGAAGAGTTGGCATGAAAAATATTCCTAAAGAAGTAATTCCCCTTGGGGTATTTCTCTTAATTATTTTGTCAGCTTTAATAAATATGTATAAAGTTTATTTATTCGTTTCTTCTGAGAAAGAGAGGAAACCCCAACAGGGTTGTCATGCCACCGTGCAGGCCTATCTCAGCCAACCCAGATCATATGCAGTCAGGGAGGTCCTGGACTTGAACCTATGACCTTTCCCTCTGCACCACCACCTGGCCCCAGACATCATGAGCTTTTTACCACCATTTTTGTATACATTTCTGGTGGAAACACTTACAGATGTACTCCATTTCCCCCCAGGCTGGCTGTAGAGTTTTTGGGTATCGGTATCTTGTGGGTGATCTTCCCTGCTCACCAAGATTGTCTGTTATACACGGGGCTCTTTACCTACTGGTGTCCTGTGGGTGACCTTCCCTGCTCACCAAGATTGTCTGTTATAAACGGGGCTCTTTACCTACTGGCAGCATCGACTGTGCCGGGATCCTGAAGCTCAGAAACGCCGACATTGAGCTGCGGAAAGGCGAGACGGACATTGGGAGAAAGAACACACGTGTGAGGCTGGTTTTCCGGGTTCACATCCCAGAGTCCAGCGGCAGGATCGTCTCCTTGCAGACGGCATCTAACCCGATCGAGTGCTGTAAGTGGGCTGTGGGGCAGGGCCTTCTCTGGGAAGTGTACGCTCTATGCCCTCACCTCCTGGGCAGTACCCTCTGGGCAAGGTAGCCAGGGCAGCAGCAAAAACCCGCAGGACCATGAGGAGCTATGGGCCCAAGATGACAACAGGGCAGAGAGCACAGTTCCGGGTTTTCTTGTTTACTTGTGGAGGGTTTTGTGAACTCACAGGAAATTAAAAAATAATACAGCTAATAAGTAGCCCATGGCTTTGTTTAGAAAAATGTAAGTGTATAACTATTGTCCAGGTCTTAAAAAAAAAAGGAGATGCATCTGGAAGGAGTCCTTTATACATAGTGTCTTTTTTTCCTTCCCTCTCTGTTCTTTCCATGAGAACACAGTAATACCACCGGGGCAGTGTGTAGAGTGTTGCTTGTCACAACACCAAGCACTCGGCCTGCCGCAGCCCATTGGATCGGCCCAGCAGGGTAGCTAGCTGGTGTCTCGTGCCCATTTTACAGATGCAGAGGGAGAACGGTTCTTGAGGTGTTGAGTAACGTGCACTCAACCAAGAAGTGTCAGGGCTGAGATTCGAACCAGAGCTTTTGCACACAGGAGCCATGTTCTTCCCTCACTTCGGTCCACCCCTGCGTGTTTACTGAGGTCTCTTGTGTCTGGTGCCGTACCAGGGACGTGCGGGTTTATTGTCTAGTGTGGATAAAGAAACGCAAACAAATGGTTGTGAAGTTGCAGAAGATTTTCAGAACCTAGTACGAAGTGGCGAGGTCTGCCTTTGGGAAAGTTCCTGAGCAGAGACGTGGCTCAGCTCTACCCGGACTCAAAAGAAGTAGCTCTGAGTGTGCTCTTGCATAATTAGGTATGACAGTCCTTATTGTCTGCTCAGCTTTGGGAGCTTAAAAAGTATTTTAAAAACATGGAGAAGGAAAACATAAACGTCTCAGGAACAAAGTTGTTCATGTGTGTGTGTGTGTTGTTATTGGGTCATTGGAAAAGTCATGATGTATTTTTGTGTAGAAAAACATGAAAAATGCATTATGACTTTTCTAACAACTCAATATATAATTTTTCTTCAAAAAAATAATCTCTTCTAGGAATATTTTGTTTAACGTTGTTACAGTCAAGTTCCATATTAAATTGTGTTTTAGGATAATTTTTTTCTTTTTACTGGATACTGCCATAACCAGATGTCACAAAAGCCATTTCCTGTTCCTGCGGAAACAAGGGAGTTCGTGGAAATGCTGCGTAGGCTAGATGGCTGACAATAGGGAGTGGTAGAGACTGAGGACCACGGCGGCACATTCTCCATCTAAATGGGCTGCTGTTAATCCACTCCTGCTGCTATTTCTCCAAGGAAATACAGATTCTGTGTGGCCAAATCTTCCGGTCTTTAAAATACACCAAAAATCAGATTTTTAAAAATGGCAACAAATTCAAAACACTCAGTGGGCCAAATAAAATGTGCGTGAGGCTTCTGTAGTCAGAGGCGGTTTTACACTAACGAGAGAAGGGACAGCATGAATATTTTATGCGGAAAGGGCCGAGGCAGACTACAGCTGAGGGTCAGAAGCCAGCAAGGAAAAAGAAGGGACTCTTTTGGGGAGAGAGGCCAGAAATGGATCTTGACTGGCCTTTGGAAGTGAACAAAGGGGCATTCTGAGTCCCTCCAGCCTTGAGTCAGTGTGCAAATCCGGCTGCTTGGCAACTCTGTCCTGTTGGGGAGAAGAGCCAATAGCAGATTGCAAGGAACGCTCGTGTGGCCCGCCACATCACTGTGGAGACGCTGGGACTCCCTGCCCACCCAGCGGACCTCACCCTGTCCCCCGGGTGCTGGGCCCAGTGGCTGCTCTAGCCGTGTTAGCTCTGAACACCTTCAGATGTTTTTGGAAGGGCTCTTCCTTGGTGCTTGGGAGGCGTTCAAGCAGATAAGGACTTAATTTTCTGGCAAATGACTCACTCTCAGGATGGGGTTGTGGTTTGTAGATGGGGAACAGGAGGTCTATGGAGGGAAGGTCACAGGCAGGAAGGTCCCCCCACCCCCCCGGTTTCCTCAAGGCAACACGTCTTACTGTGAGCTAAGACTTAAAGGGTCATCGCTGAGCCTGTGTACCTCTAGCAAGATCTCCAGGGCTTTAGAAAGTTGGGTTTTTCCTTTTCTTTTGAAAAAAGGCTTTGGGTGATTCACCTACTTCCTTTTGACAAATAAGGAAACTGAGAATTTCTTGGCAAATTTTCTTGCCCATTTTGACCCAAGAGATAGCAAAGCCAGGGACTCCGACTCTCTTTCATAGTTCTGTGCAGTACTTTCTCTTTTGGTTTCTATAACTCCACCCTTTCTCTCTCTTTTTTTTTTTTTTTGGAGAAATTTTTGCTATAGGGCATGTGCACTCGTTGGAGAGACAGAGAGAGACAGAGAGATAGAAAGTGAGAAATCACCCCCCAGGGGGGATGGCCACACCACAGTCCCTTCTCCTTCATTCTCCTGTAGGGATCTTGGGCATGCATGTACACGCACCTGGCGTGAGTCGCAAGCCACCAAGTTTGGGACTTGAACCGCAGTCAGCTACGTGGGAGTCCAGCAACGTAACCCTTCTGCCATCTGCTGGTCCCCCTCCACCCTTTCTTGTAATACCAAGTTGAGCTCCCAGTTGACCGCTCTCCCTCTCACCCTGAATCTTCTGTCATTTTTATTTTCCTCATTGTCCCGGTTTCCTAGACCAATCCATAAATATTTATTGATCAATGAGCTTATCACATGATCCATATGGACATATTCAGTATGTGCTTATTGACGAGTTAGTAATATGTCTTGACGCAACATATATGAAGTATGCATTTGCTGACTCGTTGACTTCATGCAGACCCGAGGGAGGATGAGTAGGTGAGAGAAACACTCCCTGGGCTGGTACTAATTTGCAAGGCTAACTTGTTTACTCTGGAAGTGCCTTTTATGTAGTGGCTTAGGATCAAGGGTAAGTTCTCAGATTCTAGTAGAAAAAACAGGAACCAACCACCAGAGGCCACTCCGGGAAGTGGAGCGATTTGCTAGAGGTACAGATTTCTTCCACTGACTGCCGCGCCAGCATGCCGAGGTCCAGGCGCTCTAGGCACAGACTGGCAGGCGCTGCACGTGGTTCTGGTCTTCTGTTTCCACTAGGTCTTTGGTGTTGCCAGGGAGATACTTGGAGCCTCCTCCGCTGCTCCCTCCCATGTTCTCAGCGAACTGTTTGAAACCTTCTCCAGCCTCTGAATGCCGCCCCCGCCCCTTCCCACTCTGGACCGATAACCGCACCTCCCACTTCTCTGGGAATGTGGAAGAGGTCAGAGGGGAACGCCCGGCTTCCCCAGCAACGAGCTACCCACAGCTGCAGCTGCGGCCGCCCTCCTCCTGTCACTCCATATCGGTCACCCCTCTGTCCTTGGGCTCAGCCTCACTGCCCGCCTGGGCCCACGACCAATTTCCTGGGGCCGATGGCCAGTTTCCCTGGGCTCCTCCATGCTCTCAGCATCACCCCACTTCCTCATTCCCGAGGACCCGGCCCCGCTTCCCTGGGTATCATTTTCTGAGCTGTCACAACCAGTGACCACAAACCCGGTGGCTTACAACAACGGAAGTGTGTTCTCCCACAGAGCCGGAGGCTGGAGCCCCAAATCAGGGTTGGTCCTCCTGGAGGCTTGGAGGGACTTAGGGCACCAGCTGCTCTCCCTGCTCTGGCAGCTGCGGGCATGCCTCGGAATGTAGACGCATCACTCTGATCTCAGCCCTCGTCCTCACACGGCCACCGGCCCCTGCATCTCCTTGCATGAATTATTTTGTCACCTGTGAGGACATCTCTTTTTTTAAGATTTAGGCCCCAGCCTATTCTAGGAAG